CTTAAGTTCTGTGGATCGTTTCCATTCCTACTTCGTGGTCATTGACTTAATGGCATGGCTGTGTAGCAGTTCTTGGGTTGCTTGTTCCTCTCTACGTTAGTGTTACCTGTGCCGTGTATGTTAGGGTGTCTCCAGTAAAAATCACCATTTCTCCTGGTCTGTTTGAGTCGGGTCTTTGTCTTCTTAGAACCCATGTACCATCAGGGCTACGTTCCAGGGTTTGTGATGTTGTTCTAGGACTGCTAGCCTTCCATTCCTTGATTGAGATTTTTGTGGAGGGTGTGACTTATGTAGCCTCTGCTGTACAATCTACTGTGACTGAGATGAGTTGGTTCTTAATCTTCTTTTTTAATCTGTTTGGGTATATTCAATTTTACCTTCTGTCTCACTGGCTTGCTTTCCTGTTTACTTTCACCTCCGTGAGGTATGTTTTCTGAGGAGTTGGCCTTGTTCTTTACAGTACCCTTTCTGGCCCTATGCAGGAATTCCGTGTTTTGTTGGCCGGCACGAGACTTGATTCCCTTGTCCCTCCTTGTCCCTCTGTCCAGCTCCAGTACCTCAGTAGATTTGTTTCTGTTTTCTGTATGGGTTGTGCTTGGAGGTTCCTTCGCAGCCACTGCACCTCTTGGAAGTATCTTTCTCTGAGCTCCTTTGTTGAGGCTACTGACATTTTAGGGCCACAGTCCAAGTGGATCCAGCTTTTACACGTTCCTCAGTCTGGGGACCTTTTCATGTCTTCAAGCCTGTTCACTAGGGCTGCAACAACTAATCGACATAATCGATTATAATCGATTATTGAAAAAGTTGTCAACTTTTTAATTAATCGGCTTCCGATCAGTTGGCCACGTTCACAGCTCCACACACTGTGCTCCGCACCTCCTCCCCACCTCCTCCCCACCTTGCGCTCGCCGCTGCCAGATCTATGTGTTTTGCCGCGTTTTTGATGCGTTCCAGTTTAAAAAAAACATTTTTGAGTGAGCCTGTCAGTATGTTAGCTGCAGTGCAGTGCGTTTTTGACGCGTTTTGCATTTCCGGACTGTTTCCTGACCGTACAAAATGTGACATGCAGTATTTTTTCTGTCGTAACCTGAACAGACTGCGCACATGAGAACTGTGGCCCAAAAAAAACACATAGGGATACATTGGGATGCATTTTTAGTGCAGGAGCGTACGGATCAGGTCAGCACAGAAAACGGATGTCGTGTGAACAGGCCCTTCATGTTCTGTTTGCCGCTTGGGCGTTGTACAGAAGGTATTCTACTATTCTGCCTTGTTTCCCACCCCTCAGTAGATACTGCTTTGAGATGTCCCTATGGTTCACAGATTTAAGATCTCCACTGTGTTCTTTAATGAATGCAGAGAAAAGGGTTTTAAAGTGAGTACTAAATATAATTTTTTGCCCTTGTGTTTAGATATACTTTAAGAGAAAACCTTTTTAATTTATTTTATTTTATCGTGAATACTTCACTATGCTTTGTGCCAAAAATTTGATTTTTTTTTACTGGCCCTTAAATGTGGTGGATGCATTAATTTCCTTCAGGTTTGTTTCCCTTTTTCGCCTTTTTCAGTAACGCAATTCCTGTCTTAGGGGAACCACTCTTGCCACCCAAGAAAAGTATGTTTAGACTACAAAACGCCCTATCCCTTAATTTCTTTACATAGATGAGAGGTGTTTGCAGTACACAAAGAAAACTCAAAGCAGAGCTTGTAACAAAATTTAAGGTTTCCCTGGAAAATGTGTTTGATTTAGTAGTTTACTCTAAGCACCATTGTCACTTTTAAAGGGGTATCTGCTTTCCATATACCCTGTGGCAGTATTGTGGTCATAAATATTTCTATGGTCAAAGTCTGATCTCTGCACCAGTGCTGCCCTCTTTATGTTTCATCTTAGAATCCTAGGGTGTTTTCACTCCGTGCCTGGCATTTTAATCACTTGCTGTCCGGAGCAATTTTCTTATTTGCACACACGATAAAATATTATTTTTTGGCTAGAAAACAGCTTAAACCCCCAACAATTATATATCTTCTGCAGAGGCCCTGTAGAATAAAAAAAATGCTAGTGGCAATTTTTATGTCACACAGTATTTGCACAAATGTTCATTAAACCAGTATTTTTAGGATAAAATACACCAAAATCAAATTTAGTGCAGAAACAGAATATAATACCCAAAGTATAAAAGATGGGGTCACCCTGGGTAACTAGATACCAAACATGTCAAGCCTTAAAATTGTGTGAAGCCCATGAAACCGCAAAAAAAACTACAATACCCCAAATTTCCCATAGACAACGTTTTAAAAGCTTTTACTGCTCATCGGTTAGTGTT